GGGGATTCCTACCACTTTCACACTAGCTGTGCACACCTAGGAGGGTTGCACTCAGTGAGGGCTGCTAATCAAGTCCAAAGATCCAGTGGTTGGTGGCCTCCTAACTGCTGCTTTGAAGAGTATTCAGGAGAGCCTCAGAGGCATCTGTGCCAGGGAAAGTCTAGCCCTGCAGCCTCTAGCTACAGACGACACTGAAATTGAACCTTAAGTGCCTGAAACTAACACACCCTAAAGACTGACCTCTTCAGAGGTACAAGGCACACTTCATATCCAACAGCCACAGGTGAGCAGGGTTAGCACTCTGACAGCAAAAGCCACTCCAATCTCAGAAAGCTCCACCGTGCAGCACAGTGTAAGAGCCATCCTGGCCTCCAATCTATCCATCGCACAGAGCACAGGAAACTCCGTGGAAGTGACACCACACCAGTCCTCTTCACTGCCATCCACATCACAGACGACCCACTGATGCACAGTGGTTCAACTTTTAACTTTTCAGCTTACAATGTGTGAAAGCAGCACACATTCAACAGAAACCTTACTTTGAGTCTCAATGTGGATCTCTTCCCGAGTTACATGCAGTCCGAAGCTCTCGCTCGTGACGCTGGCCAGTGGTGACAGGGCTCCTGGGCAGGTGCACTCTCAGAAAGGGGACAACGCACTCTGCAGGGTGCTGTGCTGCTCAGCTGGAGTGTCCAGGGGACAGGTGCAGGCAGTAAAATTCCCACTATGACCAATGACTTAAAACGTATAATCTTCATCTTATAATGAGTTTACAAAGAGTTCATTGAAAGTTTATGAGAAACTCATCGTAAGTTGAGGGGTATCTGTATCAGCACCTGGGTGACAGAATCAAGCTAAGATAAGTGAGGTTCGGCTGAATAAGCAGTAAAACCCAGAAGGCTGGTTCCATGAACACTGGTTATTATGTTATGGAGGAGAAGAGCAGGAAAAGACAGCTGGTGTACACGCTCGCAAACACACTGACACTCGAGACTTCTTCCCTGACTTAACACACTGGACCTGAACTCCCCTCTCCTACCCTAAATGTGAAAGATTCCCAATAAACACCAGAAATGGACAGGGCCACCCACGTGGAAGCCCAGGGCCCAGGCCCCCAGCAGTCCTACCTGGCAGGAGTCCCCACTGGAGGACGAGTGGGGAGCAGCGTGTGTGTGGCAGCCCCGAGAGTGGGCTCAGGCTGACCCCGCGTGGCTCCAGCAGGCTTCCCAACGAGGCGAGGAAGGGATTCATGGAGGAGCTGCTTGCCCGCGCCAGGAGAAACCCTTCCGGCTACAGCCCCTTCACTCAGGTAACGAACAGCAGCACAGAGGCTAAGGGAGCACACTATGCCAGGAACTCTTTGCCTTGGACAGATGCTGGTGAACAGGGCACACCGGGCACCTTTGCTGTCTGTATATACCCATGCACGTGTCCTTACCTGTACGGACACAGGCATTAAATGGTATTTATGTGTGTGGAGCAAAAATCTTACTGGACAATGTCCCCTGACTTCTGAGGCTTGCCTGTCGGTCCATGGCCTGATCCCCAAGTTCCACAGCACCGCCAATGAGTGCTTGTGACAAATGACCACGACCCATTTCATCTGCGATCTCCCTGGAAGTGTGCGTGCCACGGGTAGAACAGGGCTAGACGCAGCCCACTGTGCAGATGAGAGAGTAGGCACGAAGAGGTCCTACGGCCTGTGTAAGGCCAGACTGCCCCTGCACTAGCTCTCCGAGGGCAGGGAGGGGAGGCCTTGCAGCAAGCTACCGGTCACGATATGGAGCTCTTTCTCACAATTCTGGTACTTGAAACTAAAGCAAAGTTTTGTTGAGGTGAGAAGCAAAAAGAAGGATAACACTCACAGGACTGCTCACTGACTTATCCAGCAAAGGACACACCTGGGCAGTGGGGGATATGAGTAGCTGGAGATCTGAATTAGGTATCTTTATTTTTTACTTTGTATTAATTTTATTTTGAGACAAGGTCTTGTACAGTGAGTGGCCCAGGCTGGCCTCAAACTTAGTGATCTTCCTGCCTTGCCCTACTAAGCTTGGATTAGAGGTGTACACCATCATGCCTCGCAGAAGTAGATATTTTTTTAAAAATCCAATACATTTTTCTTTTACTAGATCATTTCTCAGTAAGTAATTCTTAAGTAACAGGAGGGGGATTCTATAGGAGAGAAAAAAATCTCCTAATGACTTTGTCCCGTCAAAGAGCAAAATGACAACAATTTAATTTAATGATCTTAATTAGCTCTATTTCTAATTCTAGAATCAGGAACATAAAATAGAGTTAAGTGCTCTGTTGGGCTGATCAGCAAAGCTGGTTTTATAGATAGAAAAATGCTACAAAGAAAGCAGAACCAAAAGAACAAAGAGCGTATCGGCCATTTCAAAGTGACTTTCCTTATAAGGTAGGGACAAGGAGGCCGAACAAGAGAAAATAACTGACTAATTGATAATGGGTTATTTCGGGCAACATACTTTTATAAAGATTAAAACTGAGGAAACTTCATTCTGCTTGGGAAACATAGTTGTTCTCTCCTTAATCCAGATTTGTTGGAAGGACTGATAAAAGCTTAGTTTTGGAACTCCTTCGATAAGCACTGGTGAGTGGTTCCATCTTGATTTTTAGCCTGGTTTGGTCAGGCCCAGAACAGGTGCTTAGTCTGAAGCAATGGCCCCTATGATTCTTATTTAACAGTCCTCAAGAGCACCTATCAATAAAAGCTATGGCCATTTAATATTGTTGCAATTTCTTAACCTGCGTGACTTTAGAGCTCACAGAAAAGCATTCCTGAGTCACAGGCAAAGGAATAAAACTCATTTTCTTCATGCAATGAACGATCTCGTTTGGAAGGAGGAGGAAGGTGGCTGGATGTAGTAAACACAGGACAGGCAGTGCAAGAGGGACGAAGTTTCTTCACAGGTCAGAGGAGACTATACATGCCTCAGAGGACTGCCTGGGAAGATACGAGGCTGCCAGTGCATCCTCACTTTGAACAAAGGCTCTCAGACAATCACAGGCCTCACAAAGCAAGACACTGAGCTGCGTCTGAGTGCCATGCTAGGCTGAAGACGGCCGGCTTCCTACAAGGCAGCCAGGGGGAAAGGAGAGGCAAGGGCTGGCCTTTCTTCTTCTTATCGGCCTCTTAAGGGGCATGAGTAGCTGGGGGCAAGAGAGGAAAAGCTGAAGGTCACCCCCCACCACCACAAGGCTGCCAACAATGGCATCCGCAAGAGCCTCCTGCGGCTCTACCCTCAGCTACAGGGCCAGCTCCTCATAGACCGTGGCCTCAGCTCACCAAACAGAATGCCCAACACTAAACAAAGGCCTCTCTCCAAGCCCATAGGCTTTCTGCCCAGCTGGGTAACTCATCCTTAGTCTTCGTAGAGAGCAAAGACAAACATGCAATTCCACGTCTCTTTAAGAAAAAACGATGGAAGGAAGAAATTCCTCCTCCTGAGGCCAAGGGGTGACAAGTCACTCTTCAGACCAGAATATTCACCTGGCATGGTAGTTGGGGGGGGGTCAGTTTTTGTTATTTCTGTTAGTAATATTACCTGAGAAAGTACCAGACGGACCCCAGTTTGTCTTTCCTACCTTTGCTGTCTGCGACACAGGAAAGAGAGACAGGGTAGGAGGAAGGGCAGATTACTGCTTTAAAAGGTCAAGACCAGGCTTAGCTCTGACCTAATCATCCTGACTTAATGTCTGCTCGCAAACACGCTATGCTGCAGAAATGCCCCAGTGGAACAGCTAGACCAGGAACCTCGCCTTCTGGGACAGTGAGGTTTTCAAAAATAAGGAACGCTTGTTCCTGAGAAAGGGGATGTTATGAAAACCTCAATTCCCTAAACCGTCATCATCAGGCTGCCTTGAGTACAGCAGGGTGACAAGGCCCTGCACACCAAGGGCTCCCCCTACCAGTTGGGTTAGAGCTCTGAGAGGCCCAGGCATGGTTCCTTCTCCACAGAAGCAAGTTACTCAGCTCCCAGAATCCTCTCCTGAGATCAAGGGGCCTCTACAGAGATGCCATCATTAAAGCCTCCTCTCAGGTGTTGGCAGCAGTGGCTCACAAGGTCCCTCCCTCCAGAGCAGCCAGCCGGGCAGAGGTCCAGATGGCACGAGGATCAGTGATCTCCCCGGGTGCCTCCTAACCACAGAGGCACCTAGTGCAGCCCTGCCGGGATGTGTGTGTGGATAGGGGAGGGGTCTCTGGGTGGAGGCTCCGATGAGTAGTCCCCTCCATCTCCTTGACTGAGGCAAAGATCAAACTCGGGGTCTCCTGCATGCTAGGCAAGTGCTTCATCCCCAAGCTGCACTCCCAGGGCCCAGTTTTGTAAAGTGAACATGATTTTTTTTAGTATTACATTTTATTTTTACTGCTTCTTCCAGTACTTCACAATTTTTACAAGTGGTGATCGTTTTAAGCTAAAATACAACTCCTTGAGGCACTATAGAACATGGGAATAACAATGATTTTTAAAACCACAGCCAGCAACAGCAGCCCCTAAAAGCATCAGTATAAAAACACTAAACAAATAACCTCCTTCAACTTCCTTGGACTTGTTTAAAAGAGATTACTGATGGAAAAATCAAATGCAAAATTTTAAAGAATCAGTAACTCTTTTTTTTTCTCTCATTGAGTTTATTGGAACATTTTAGGTATACAGTACAGTTGCATTCATCATTGGGATATTATGCCTTTATATGACAGGTCTTGGTTCTCTTTTTTTCCCCTTGTCCCTGCCCTCCCTTCACCCCCTCCTCCCCTCCCCATTTACAAACACTTTATTTCCTTTTTTCATCTTCTCATATTTTTTTTTATTTTCCCTTATTACCTTTCCCCTACCCTTCCCACTTTCCCTACACCTTTAGCCCTTTTCTTCCTATTTCACAGTGTTATTTATATCATTAGGATCTTATGTACTATTATAGTTTTTCACACCAGAGAAAGTATTCGGTATTTACACATGTGTGACTTATTTATTTCACGTAGGAGTATATCCTCAATATGTATCCATTTTCCTATGAATGAGTCTAATTTCTCAAGAATCAGTAACACTCTACTAAGCTACTCAGAGGAAAATTAAAAGGTTGCTTGTTTATGCCTTGCAACAAGATTTCAGCTCAGAGTTTGGGAATCTACCAAGGCAATGAGTTCATGTGCGTGGGTATTGGAAGGCATTTTTCTGAGAAACAGAGAATACGGTTCTCATCTAATACTAAAAAGGCATTGACCAAATGTTAATTTTGCAGCTTAACTAATTTATAACAACATTTATCAATCTGGTCCCTACTTTTTGAAGAAAACGTCAAAGCCAGCACAGGGCATGTGGGAGCGTTCTCCCGAACGTCTCTCTGCCCGCAGGCCAGGTGTCTCATCCTTCTCTTCCCCAATCTCTTCTTGTCATAGTCTACTGCAGAATGTTAACAGTAATCCTGGATGCCTGACATCCTGCTCAGAGGTGAGATTACAAGAATAAACAAGGCCTGGTCCACGTCATTAAAAGACTTGTAGTCAGCTGAAAGAAAGGATCACAAAAATGGATGACTGGTGCTGCTATTAGACTGTTCATTATATTGAGTATCAATATGCATCTACACAGAATGCTTGGGGAAGATTGTGCAACTTGCAAATACTTCCAATCCCCCACCCACACCTTTTCTGACAGACAGAAGTCAAGGCAGAAAACACTCTAAGAGTCTGATGACTAGGATTTTGCTTAGTCTCTTGCCTGGCTGGCCAGCTGGAACAGAAATATCAACAACAATGTCGAGAGCCAGAATGTGCCTTCTCCAAACAGTTTTGAATTCAAATGCGGAGAGTAGAATGGTGACCTCCAAGGGTTAAGAGGAGGAGGAGTGGAGAGCTAGTATTCAAGGCGCACAGAGCCTCAGTTTGAAGAGAGGAAGACATTCTGGAGACGGAGAGAGGTCGTGACCAAACAACAACGTGAGTGTACTTACTGCCGCTGAGCTGTGGTTAAAATGGTATATTTTGTGATATATACACAATAAAAAATTTTAAGTAGTTTTCTTTTTTCTTTTCTTTTCCTTTGTACTTGGCAAAAGGGAATGTTACCAGTGCTGATGTCTGCCAGGGTGCTGCACAGAATAAATCCAAAGGGCTACAAATTTCTCAAACCCTAATATACAGCGATGTCCCTGTTACTGTTCAGCTGATAATACCACTCTTTCAGTAAACACCCCTATCCTTGATCCTTTTTGGGACATTCAGAGGGGTTCAAGAGGAAATCCCAAGTCCAGGGGGCTAGGAGAGGTCCAAGGTCCTGGACAACCACACTGGACCAAGTCCCATGCTCTTGGACCAACCTTCCCAGAGGACAGTGTCCCCTAACTGCAGGCTGCCAGCGCCAGGCTCTGGAACCTTACCAAGGCCTGGAGAGTGTGGGGCCCTGGGGGCTGGGCAAGTCCCTGCCTAGACTGGAGGCAAGTATCACATTTCCCGACGAGCAGCCTGAAAGGCGAGCTGGCCCTGGAGGCCTCCTGCTCACCTGAGAACCTGACCGCGGCTATCACAGAGACTCCTGGCCCACGAAGCTCCATGCCCCGCTTACTGGTAGCTGAGATTACTCAGTGTCACTGAGTGTAGATCCAAGGCCACCGATGCTGGCCCACCGAGGCATCGGGCACGCATCCCTGCCGCAGGTGAGACCTCCATGTGCCTATCAGCACAACTCACAGCACAGAGCTGACAAGCCCAGTGATGCTTATCTGCAGGACAGCCTGCTGGGCGCCAGGGCAGCTCTCTGCTTTGGTTACAGTTTCTCTGTCAGTGTATCAGAAGCCACGCTGCCCAGGAAGAGGTCGCAGCACTTGCTCAGTGTCCTCTCGTGGGATACAGGTGGAAATCATGGCAGGCTAGGATGGTTCTCTTCCGTCTCCTTTGTCCTGCAGCATCGGGATTTCACTGCTGTCCTGGTATTTGTCCCCCAGCACTACTGTCTCGGGAATAAGGATGACCTCCGCAGCTCTTCCTGTCCTTGCTCTCCCCAGTAACGTTTCCTCAGCCTTTGGATCTTCAAGGATTTCACCACTAACCTCACAGAGAGACCAAAGGATTGATTTAAAATCTAAATTAGCAAACAAGATAATGCATCTGGGATCATTTTTGGCTACTCTCACAAAATATCTGAGATTGGGTAACTTACAGAGAAAAAGCTTTATCTTGGCTCATAGCTCCAGAGACTGGGAAAGCATCAGCAAGATGGAAAAGACGCAAGAGGGAAAAGGAGACAGCTAACCCTCCCCATGTGAAAACCAACAGCCCATTCATGAGAACTCTGTCTTCATGGCCAGCCCCTTCTGAGAGCCTACTACCTTCCAACACAGCGTGAGAGCCAAATTTCACCACGAGTTCTAGCTGGAACAAACCAAAGCACGATCAGTTCAGTTTTATAAAGTAGGTCCTGTGGTTTGTCACTGTTGCTCATGACAGGACAGAGCACCAGTGAGTAAAGAGCTGCCAGGATTCTGCCCAGGATGCAGCCTGCCAAGGAGGATGGGGGAACCCAACCCTGAGTCTTCTTAAAATCCTCAGAAGATAACCCCAACCAGCTGTATAAGAACAACATCCACTGCTGGTGGTGAGATCTCAAAGGGTGTGTTCTTTACAATCTGCTGTGTAGCCTCAACTTTGCTGGATACCCCCTACCAAACAGAACCAGGTTCTCAAGTACACATGGGAAGCTTCAGCTGAGAAATCTCAGCTCAAGTGTCCAGCAAACCTCCAGCATTTGTTCACCAGGAATAAAATTAATACTGTGCTTCCTAAGAAGAGACCCAAACATAGGGAACACTGGCTCAGAAATAGATTCCCCAAAAGAAACAATGATGCCAATAGGAAAAAAGTGCTCCTTTCCTCTTGGAGGGAGGGAGGGAGGGAGAGAACTCTGAATACCTGACATTTAGCTGTTGAAGAATCGAAGCAATTCCAGTGTTTCGGTATTAGCTCAAAGAAAAAAAGAGGGTAAATCATTACAGCTTTTCAACTGCCAAGCGTCTTCTATTGATCATGTGACCATATTTTGCAGAAGAATAGACATAAGATTAGAAGAAATACAGTCCACAAAATGATTTGAAGGAGGCGGATGGAGAAAAAAGGTTGTACGTCTTGTCATCCAGTGCCAATAAGCCATCCTGTTCTCCATTATCAACCCTGCTTGTGACTCTGAAGCTTTGACCTTGGAATCTTGCTGGTCCAGAAGGGACTGCCCTCTCCCGGGGCTGCCCTACTCCAGCAGACAGCGAGACTACCTGCCAACACACCTTTGATCTCCACCCAATCCAGTTCCCCGGGTGAGCCATACCTACCCAGTCCACCTCCTCTATCTGGCTTTCACACCCTAGAGCACAATTCCTCTGCCCTCATCAACCCAGGGCCTGGGAGCCAGGGCCAGCCCCAGAACAGAAAATTATCTATTGCTCAGACTAGCTAATCCAAAGCCCACTTAGCCCACTCCACTCACTCCTTTCTGCAGAAAACACAGTGAAGGCCCCTGGCTCTTTTTCCCCCGGGTCCCTCTGCTCCTAACACTCCCAGTGTTACTCCTGCAGCCCTGTGAGTCAGAGTGTGGCCTCTCTTCTGTTGAGAACCTTGCAGCACCAACTGTCTTTCCATGGGCAGTTGCCATCGCCTACCGGTTGTCCCTACTGGACCTGAATACTAAAGCCTATACGTTATGACAATTTTCTTCCACTACACCGAGCTAGAAAGCTCATTTGTTTAAGTGAAATTCAACTCCCCAGACAGCAAGATGGAAGAGTGTGCACTGAGAAGTACTGAGAATGTGTGAACACTGAAAACGCAGGAGGGAAAGAGGAGTGAGAAAGAGAAAGAAGAGGTCTACGGCAGAGATGAAGAAGACAACTCTTGCTTTACACTTTTTGGGACGTGGCAAAATGATACATAAAATGAAAAATCACTCAAACTGTGAGAAAACACAATGAACCTATTACGATACAGCCAAAGTATTCTGCCTAAGGTCACCAACAAAGGAAAACTAAATAGCCTGGTGTCTGTCTCATATACTTTTTTCTAGTAGGTTCCACCTCCACCTAAAATTGAGAGAAGCTAATGAATATTCAGAATTCAGGCTTGTGGTCAGCTAATCCTCCAGTCTGTGTATACTGTATTTTAATCAAAACACCATCAAGATCTCTTCATCACAAGTAGCTGGCAGAGTTGAGACTTATTATTACAGTTTCGCAGCTGGTTCAGGAACCATTTCTAAAGCTCATTAAGCACTTCCTAACATCTTATCAAGAATCTGTCTGCAAGAAAGAGGGAGACCAGACTCTTGGAGAACTGGAAGTTTCTGAATAAAAAGGTGCTAAGCACATGCACAGTTGGTCTAACAACCTCTGTACTTGCTGCAAAGTGCAGGGGGAGCTGACGGTATTGTGCAGGAAGGGCCGATGTGAAAAGCAATTCACGCAATGCCCAAAGTAGTCCAGGGTGAGGGGCACCAGCCACTGGGCTAAGGATGGTTCCTGTCCACGGTTGGGAGTGGCTTTTCCTTGGAGAACGAGGGGCCTCGAAGGCATGTGAAATCATTTATCTGCCAGAAAGCAGGGCTGACCAGCCTCCTCCCCTAGGAAGTGGGGCAAAATTAAAATCTTCATTTTTTTTCATTTTCATCTTGAAGCATAAAGCCTTTCTCCTACACTTTGAATACTAATAAGGAAATAAGTTTTATGCAATTCTAAACATCTAACACTCATCTAAAAATGAGTATCCCATAAGGGCTGGAGATTTAGCTTAGTGGTTCCACCACCTGCCTTGCAAGAGCAAGGACCTGAGTTTGATCCCCCGTACCAAAAAAAAAAAA